ATAGACATTCTTTTGAATCTCATGGCATAATACATCAATTTTGTATCCCTTTTATCGTCTGTGTTTGTTCCTAGATCTCTTCAAGATTCTCTTCTCTCTCTGGAATGGAAAAAGGGTGATGGATGAGGAATTTCATGCTCTTTAATCTAATCATACTTGGGACCTCACTTCTCTGCCTCCAAGAAAGAAAGCAGTTGGCTGTCGGTGGGTTTACACTGTTAAGCATTGTGTCGATGGTAGAGTGGAGAGATATAAAGCACGCTTAGTAGCTAAAGGGTATACACAGACCTATGGTGTTGATTATACTGATACCTTTTCACCTATGGCTAAAACGGGTTCGGTCCGGGTGCTTATTTCCCTTGTTGCACACTTTGATTGGCCGTTGTTCTAGTTGGATATTAAAAATGCATTTCTTTACGGTGACCTAAAGGAAGAGGTGTATATGGAGCAACCTCCAGGGTACGTTGCTCAGGGGGAGGAAGGTAAGGTGTGTCGATTGAAGAAAGCAATTTATGGGTTGAAGCAATCTTCGGGGGTCTAGTTTGGGAGATTCAGTAGTGTAGTACAATAGTTTGGGATGACACAATGTAGGGTTGATCATTTAGTGTTCAGTAGAGACACTACCTCTGGGAAGATTGTGTTAGCAGTCTATGTTGATGACATCATTATCATAGGAAGTGATGAGAATGCATTGAAAAGCTCAAACAGTTTTTACAAAACCAGTTCCAGACTAAGGACTTGGGGAACTTGAAATATTTTTTGGGCATAGAAGTAGCAAGGTCAAAGTTGGGAGTCTCTCTCTCACAAAGGAAGTATTTGCTTGACCTGTTGGATGAAAATAGCCTTTTAGGGGCAAAGCCAGTGGATACCCCTATAGATCCAAATGTGAAGATGTTTGATAGTGAGGGGGAGCCGCTAGATGATCCTGGACAGTACATGAGAGTAGTAGGAAAACTGATTTATTTAACCATTACAAGACCTAACATTTCCTTCAGCATTGGATTATTGAGCCAATTCATCCAGAACCCAAGGACAATCCATTGGGAAGGCATTGTTAGAGTTCTATGCTATTTGAAGGGGGCTCTAGGTTAAGGGTTGTTGTATAAGAAAGAGGGGAAACTTTCCTTGGAAGGATACATAGATGCTGATTGGGCAGGGTCGGTTACTGACAGGAAATCAACAACTGGTTACTGCACTTTTTTGGTAGGGAATTTGATTACTTGGAAAAGCAAGAAGTAGAATGTGGTGGCTAGGAGTAGTGCTGAGGCCGAGTACAGAGCCATGGCCCACACTACATGTGAGTTGGTGTGGTTGAGACAATTGTTACAAGAGATGGGAATACCAATCACAACCCCCATGAAGCTATTTTTTGACAACCAGGCTGCCATTTATATCTCTTCCAATCCAGTGTATCATGAGAGGACCAAACACATAGAGGTGGATTGCCACTTTGTTAGAGAAAAGGTGGTCAGTGGAGAAATCATTACCCCATACGTGAAGTCTGAAGATCAACTAGCTGATTTGTTGACCAAAGGCTTGAGTGGTGCTCGGATGAAATACATTTGTAACAAGTTGGAGTTTATGATATATATGCTCCAACTTGAGGGGGAGTGTTAAAATACAGCTTTGTTTCAGGGTTATTTTTGTCTTTTCCCTTCTTAAAATCAGTGCCTTTTGTCTCTATTCTCAAGTATTTGTGTACAGGGGTAATAGTGTAATTTTACCTTTTATTATGAATTAAACATTCTGGGCAGCACTTCTCTTCTTCTTCTTCAACTCTTCTCCTTCTAGGCTCATACCAGAAGCCTTTTTTTTATTTATTTAATTAAATACAGGCCTGATAACAATGATGCTAGAATCTGGATTCCCAATTCTCTGGGTCTTTTTTTCTTGTGTCTCTTTTTTCTCTCAGTTGTGCTCAGTTCCTAACCCTCAACATTTCTTTTGGAAAGAAGTCTAGTCTAAGACCATTCCCCTTAAGGTTGGATCCCTTTGTTGGGAAGCCTCTCTTGGGAAATTAAACACTTTGGATACCTTGCAAAGAAAAGGCCCAACTCCTTTGCAAAGCAAATGGAGAGGGTTGTTACCATCTTCTAATTTCTTGTCCTCTTGTTGTGAATCTTTGGAAAATAATTTTTGGTCTTTCTGGGCGTAGGTGGACGATGCCTCTGCAAATCAGGGGGCTTTTCAACCCTACAACTTTCAGGTGGCCTAACTGCCTAAGAGAAGAGGTAGAATTTTATGGAGATGTGTTAGGGCTGCTTTTGTATGGACAGTTTGGGAGGAAAGAAATAACAGGACTTTTAATAATAAAGAAAGGGATGTAGCTACTGTTTGGGAATGTATGCTAATAAGGGCTATTAACTGGGACAAAGCTTTGGATTTATTCTCACTTTTCTCCTTTGAAGACATATGGAGAAACTGGGAATCTGTTGCAAACTCTTCTTTGGTTAAGGACAAACCTGTTGTAGACTGGAAGCCCCTAGAAGAAGGCTTCATAAAGCTCAACTTTGACGGCAGCAGCCTTGGCAATCCTGGACCTTCTGGTATTGGGGGTGTATTTAGGAATGAAGAGGGACAGATTGTTGCCTTATTCTCTGGCCCTATTGGAGTGGGGGATGTGGTTAGTGCAGAGGTGCAAGCTGCTATACAGGGAGCACAAACTGTTAGAGTTGAACTTTAGGAGGTTGATCATTGAAGGTGACTCTAAAGTGTAACTGGGTGGCTGAAAGAACCAGAGACAGTAGCTTGGTCTTTTAGGAGAGAGATGAGGAGGTTCAAGTGGTTTACTTCTAAATTCTAATCTCAGTGAGAGTTCAGAGGGAGAGGAGGTCGGCAAATGGGCTGGCTGATCTACTAGCTAAGCAAGGGGTGAAGAGGGATCTCTTATTCTGGGCTCAATTGTAATTTTACGTTGTTTTTAAGGCAGCAACTTGCAACTTCTGGGAGAACTCTGTTTTGTATCCACTTGTCAGCTTATTTTATTTATTTATCTTAATAAAATACGTCATGGTTCATCAAAAAAATGACAATATAATCAAGTACTTTCTGTTATTCATCCAAAAAGGAAAAAAGAAAAAGAAGAAAAAACTCAATGAAAAACTATATAATAGATTTAGGGGTGTTTTCTTCATCAATTATAGGCCTGCTACAGCCCTGCTGATTTGACATCAGTAGCAGTGCTTTAAAAGGCGTGCCTGAGGTGTGCCTAGGCGCCAGGCGAGGCACATTTTAGGGTAGGTCCTCGGCCAGGTCCTAGGTGCAGCACTTTCAAAAGGCACACACCTGATGCGCCTTGCGCCTTGGCCCAGGCATGCGCCTTTTGAAAATTGTATGCTTTTTTGCCTCAAGGGGGGTTCTTGGAGCTCCAGTTTTGGGCTTTTGTCTTGAGGGGTGTGGCACAAAGGTGACTCATAGAATTAGGAATGTAATATGTTTTACATCACATTAGCTACTTGAAGTAATGCAATTGAGGAAAAAAGAGATCGTGGGCTTTACATGCTTGAAAATGTTTTATATGTTTGGTTTTATTTTGAAAATTTCATTTGAATATGATTTACTTGTTATGTTTATGTATTTTAATTTTAGATAATAGGTTTTTTAAAATCATTAATTTTAAAAATTAAGTTTATATTTCTTATTAATATTATGTTTAATATTTTTGCACCTTGCTTTAAAATGGCACGTGCCTCGCCTCGTGCCTCTCGCCTCGGGCGCAAATTGGCCCTTGTGCCTTTTTTGCGCCTTGCGCTTTTAAAACACTGATTAATAGGGACTAGCTCAATGCTTGTCTATTAGTGCATGAAAAGGGAAATTAGTTTCTTTGATACTAACTCGGAAGATTTGTAATAGAAAAATAAGAATAGAAGAGCAGAAAAGAAGAGAGAAAAGGAAAGAAGAGACAGAGAGACGTTGAATTTAGGAAAAATAGTATATGGGCTAACACTCGTTCTTTTAATTTTTATACCTTCTTATAGAATGTAACAACTACAACTATACTCCCAGTGAATAAATAGAAAAATTCTGAATTACCCAATTAAACCTCCAAATTACTACAAAGTAAATCAGAAAAGTTAATAAGCTTCAATTGAGATCTGAATTGGAGATTTCAAATTGCATTAAGAAGAAACCACTTCCTCTACTCCTATCCCAACTGCCAGCTACCATTCAGCATGCAATTAACTTGAAAAAAAATACTATGATGATGAGCCCATACCAAAAATTACCTCCTTTTGGTTTTCTTCTGCTCTTTGGGTCTTCAGTTGTATACTTCAGCCCATATCCTGATATCTGGTTTTCATCAGAAACTCTACAAATCATTGTGCTTTGTATAAAGAAGCATTACTATTTGATCTTCAATTTGTAATCCTCTAGTTAGGTTTTTGCTTGGCCATGTAGAACATGGTACCCCATCTTCTTAGAGCCATGTCTAGATTTTGTTAGGGCTGTAAGCAAGTTATATTTGGATTAGATATATGTAGATCCAATTATATGTTGTGTATATCTTGATTCAATTCCAATCCAAAATAAATGAATTTGAATATTATGTACCTTTAATAAAATTAAGAAAAATGATGGCTTTGAGAGTTGAACCTGAATGAAACATTTCTCTCTTTTATTTCTTTCCTTTTTCTTTGTATAATTGGATAGGAAGGGGCCATTGCTTGATGCAATAGCAAAATCTTGCGCTGACAAGTGTAAAAATGTAAGTTTGGGTAAGAGAGTAGCTGTTTTGTGCAACAAAAAAATTGCTTACAGTTAGGTCTAGATCCATTCTACCCCTCCCAAGTGCCCAGATAGTTGTGACCAATATTGCGTAATGACCTTTTTGTATAACTGGATAGTGGGTTTGGATTGGATGCAATCATAAACAGATCTATCATTTGAACCATAGTTTGATCCATTGACATCTCTAGATTTGGTCATTCTATGAATAGAAAATGTTCATGTAGGATTCTTCTACTTTCAGTTGTGACTAATTGTTCTTAGTATTGTCACAGATTTCTCAGACTTTATACATCGAGATAATTCAACAGGTTCCTCTTTTCAAAGGATGCACAGACGAGTTCCTAAATCAAATAGTATGTTCAATCTTCATTTGGAAATTTTTTATTTATATGTATCACCCAGTGTTGTAGTGATCTTGGGCAGAAAACCTGTGCAGGTTATGAAGTTAAATGAAGAGTTTTTTCTCCCAGGAGAAGTTATCCTTGAACAAGGCAGTGCTGTGGATCAAGTTTATATTGTATCACATGGATGTTTGGTAAATTATGCATATTAACTGGAAATTACTAATTATTTGCCAGATAGTTGCATGCAGACTCACAGACCTCGCTACATATTATGCATCTGTCAAGTGTAATATATTTTTCTTTTTCTTTTTCTTTAGGTTCTCAATTCTAATATTTATTAGAGTTACAGTGGTTCTGCTTTGCCTTACATTTTCCATTAATGTGATAAGATTGTTCCTAAATTAATTAATGAAACTTCAGGTTGATGTTTTATTCTGTTACAGGACTGATCTGTACTGGTTTCAGCCTTTAATTAGCAGACAATAATAATAGCATGAGAGAGAGAGAGAGAAAAGAGAGAAAATAATAGAATAGGAGAGATTACTGATTCGAACTAGAGAAGATGTGACACTTGCACCCTAATTAAGTATGGGACATAGTACTTAAATCAGAACATAAATAAAAAACATTACACCACATTCTTAATATAAATAAAATGACCAAACTACCCCTGTATAGTCGTCTCTAACATAGGAATTCCTAAAGGCTAGAGGGGATGACTAAAACTGTACATCTAAATCAAAACAATGAGGGTGAGGTACCTTTTCTTGCCTCAAGCTGAGGGCTGTCAAGTTTAACATTATATACAGTACGTTTTTTTCACAAATCAATAAAAGTTTCAGTTATGGATACAAAATGAATCATCAGATTGATTTCAGATCAACAATTCCTAGGGTTTCAAATTGCAAGGTCAACAATGAACCAAGAATAGAGATACTTAGTCCAATACAAGGGGTAGTAGTCATCCTTTTAGCGAGAAATGGATAAAATCCACTACTACTGAATAAAATAGGTCTGTAGCAGACCACTTTCAATCTGATTGACATGGATTAGCAGGTGCAATACAAACTGGAACAGCATTTGTTACAACCATAATCTCTATGAAGATATATATGTTGTTAGATAGGAGTGATTAATAGTGCATGAGAAGGTATATTATATTTTAAATAATTAAAGATCTCTGTAGATCTCCACACATTTGATCGAATTCCTTTTCGATGAAGGCATAAATGCCAAGCAATAGAGACCAATATCATTATTAAGACCTTATCCCAGATATTGAGGGTTGGCTACACAGATACTGTTTGCAGCATTCCACTCTTCATAGTGCTGAAATTTCCATATGTAACCATGTAACACTGAAAAAAAGATTCATGGATTGGATAAGGTAATGCTGGTCATCTGCATGTTGTACGGTTTTTATTAGTTTTTAGTGTAATTTAAAAATTTTCAAGGGATTTTTTTTTCTTTTCAGGATTGAAGTAGTAATAAAATGACTTAAGTTCTAATAATTTAACAATGGATATGGTATTAATCAGAACAGATGGGCGAAACAGGATTCATGTATCCAATTGCCAACCTCATAATTGGAATAAGGCTTGGATGATGATGGTTTTGTTTTTTTCTTTTCTTTTCAGGATACTTACAACTCATGCATGTTTCTTATTTTCTGGATTTTTGTCTTGTTTTGTATTTTGTTAACTTGTAGTCTTGTCTGACTGCTCAAATTTTGGTTTCTCTCATAAACTTGAGAAAAAAAGTGAGTTTCTTTTGTCTTGTCTCATTCCTTGGATCCCATATTAGAACTTTACAAGACCCTCATGGAGTATATTTGTGAGAGTTGGAATTGTGTTGGCAGGGAACAATATGAGGTTGGGGAAAGGAAACCTTTATCACATCCATGCATATGTCAGTCTGTGGCATGTGGTGTGTGGTGTGTGTCCAAATGCCATCTTAATTTTTCACATTCCTGAAATTAATTTTTAATTGTGTTTTAACATTGGATTATAAATATTATCAATGTGGTGAGGCAATAGCTAGTCATTTGACCTCTCTAGTCAATCTAATAACAAGTCAGTGCCTAGGTTCAAAGTAAACAAAAGAAAAATGATATGTTCTGAATGTAAGGCATTGATGCAGTATCATAAATAAATTAATATGGATGTTGTTAGTGTTATTATTTTATCTTTGCTGTTAGTGTGCTGTCAGCTTGTTCTTTTCTTCTTTTAATTAGTTTATTATTAGGGTGTGCCCCCGGGGGTATAAATGTAATCTCCCATTTATTATTATGTTATATCATTATAAATAAGAAGCTGGGCGCTGCCAGCAACACTTTTAGACTCCCAAAGTATTTTCCCTCTCTCTTCTTAAAATCCGATAATGCAAAGGAGTATTTCCATGGTGAGCTCAATGAATTCCTTGCCTCTCATGGATCTATTCACAGGAGCTCATGTGCAAGAACACCACAACAAAATGGTGTTGCAAAAAGAAAGAACGAACACCTCCTTGAGGTAGCACGAGGGATGATGTTACACATGAATGTACCAAACGGATTTTGGATGTATGCTATACTTGCAGCTTCTTATGTCATCAATCGCATGCCCTCTAGAGTGTTGAACTACATGGCCCCTCATCAGTTGTTGTTCCCCTAGTCTCCTTTATTTTCCATTCCCATGAGAGTGTTTGGTTGTCGTGCCTTTGTCCATGATTTGTCTCCGTCGTGGTAAGTTAGACCCTCGGTTTATTCCATGTATCTTTTTGGGGTATCCCTCCTCTCAAAAGGGTTACTAGTGCTTTGGTCTCATTAGTCATAAGTTTTTTGTCTCTATGGATGTTTCCTTCTTTGAGTCTGAATTGTTCTTCCCTTCTTCTCCTCAGGGGGAGAGTAGTGTGGAAAAAGAGAAGCAGGTCCAGGTCCGCTAAGTCTCTCTTCCTTCTATTCTAGACCCTGCTCCCTTTCGTGTCTTTCAACGTAAATGCCGTAGAGATCATTAATGTGATAAAGATGTGGAGCCACCAAACATTGAGCAACCGACACCTTCAGACTCCCAGGAGGTAAGTCCAAATGAACTAGGCCTTAATGCAGCACTTGTTGATACCCCTGCTCCCATTTTGGTTGTGGATGACCTTGATATTCCTATTGCTCAAAGAAAGGGAATCAAGTCATGCACTACCAAACACCCCATTACCCAATATGTTTCCTATGATCACATTTTCCCCTCGTACCGAGCCTTCCTATCTGCAGTTGATTGCATCTCCGTACCCAGAAATGTTGTAGAGGCCTTAAAATACCCCGAATGGACAGATGCTATGAAGGAGGAGATTAATTCTCTCCATAAAAATCAGACTTGGGAGTTGCCAATTGGTGGATCTTCCAAGGGGGAAAGACCCAATGGGGTGTAAGTGGGTGCTTACAGTTAAACACAAGGCAAACGGAACAGTTGAAAGGTACAAAGAAAGATTAGTAGAAAAAGAGCACACTAAAGTCTATGGGATTGACTATGATGAAACATTTGCTCCAGTAGCTAAGATGAACTCAATTCAAGTTCTTCTATCATTGGTTGCTAACCTTGATTGGGAATTGCATCAACTGGACATAAATAATGCCTTTTTAAATGGTGACCTAGAGGAGGAGGTGTACATGGTTCAACCCCCATGATTCTGTGCCAAGGGAAGTGAAAATAAGGTGTGCAAACTGAGAAAATCTCTTTATGGTTTAAGGCAATCTCCCAAGGCTTGGTTCAATAAGCTTCATATGGCAGTCCAGCAAGTAGAATTCAAGCAATGTCAGTCTGATCACACTCTTTGTGAAGAGATGTCAAAAACAGGTTGTTGTGTTGATAGTATATGTGGATGATATCATCATTACATGAAATTGGAACTCAGAAATACAAAAGTTGAAACAATTCCTAGCATCTCAATTTGTAGTGAAAGATCTGGGTCCATTAAAGTACTTTCTTGGAATGGAAGTTGCCTGCTCAAAAAGGGGCATCTTTATTTCTTAGAGGAAGTGCACCCTTGGTCTGTTACAAGACACAAGCAAGTTAGGTGCAAAGCCAGCAGATACTCCTATGGATGTTGACCATAAATTGGGTGATTGTGATGGTGAACCTCTTAAAGATGTGAAACAGTTCCAAAGGTTAGTGGGAAGGTTTCTTTATTTGCCCATGACCCGTCTAGACATTGCTTATTTAGTTGGGGTTCTGAGCCAATTCATGCATTCCCCTAAGAAACCACTCATGGAGGCAGTAGAGGGGATTCTTAGGTATTTGAAAAAGTATCTAGGAACAGGTTTGGCATTTAGTAAACATGATCACTTGAAGGTGGAAGTCTATACAAATGCTGATTGGGCAGGTGTTGTGGATAACAGAAAGTCCACAAGTGGGTACTACACATTTGTGGAAGGAAATCTAGTGACATGGAGAAGTAGAAAACAAAGTGGGGTAGCAAAGTCAAGTGTTAAAGCGGAGTATAGGGTGGGCTATGGCACATTGGGTGGCTGAAGTACTTTGGTTAAAAATTCTTCTAGGGGAGCTTGAAGTTACTGTTCATAAGCCTATGTCTCTCTACTGTGACAACAAGGTAGCCATAAGAATTGCCAGCAATCTTGTCCTGCATGAGAGGACCAAGCACATTGAAGTGGACAAACACTTCATAAGGGAAAAATTGGAAAAAGGGAGAAATTTGTACTCCTTATGTTAACTCCAAGGAGCAACTAGCTGATGTCCTCACAAAGGGACTTCCATACTCATGTCACAATGAATTGTGTGACAAGTTGGGCATGATAGACATATTTAGCCCAACTTGAGGGGGAGTGTTATTAGTGTTATTATTTTATCTTTGCTGTTAGTGTGCTGTCAACTTATGATGCTGTCAGCTTGTTCTTTTCTTCTGTTAATTAGTTTATTATTAGGTTGCGCTACTAGGGGTATAAATGTAATCTCCCATTTATTATTATGTTATATCATTATAAATAAGAAGCTGGGCGCTGCCAACAACACTTTTTGACTCCCAAACTTTTTTCCCTCTCTTCTCTTCTCCTCTCTCTTCTCTCCTCTCCTCTCTCTTTTCTTTCTTTTCTCTTTCTGCAAGAAAGAAAATAATAGACTACAAATATTCAATGGTATTTAACATTTAGTTTACAATCCTTGTTTTACTGACAAAAATTAGGCTAGATAGGGTAGGATGGGAA